CCCTATCGCCGCGACTTACGGGGGTTTAAAGCATCGGAAGTTCAAAGCAGTTCTCACCTGCAAGCACTAGAAAGCGACCTGCTGTTCACCGTTGCAGTAAGGAAAGCTGCCGGTTTTCAACTCCTGGGGGTGAAATACTCAGCCGGCGTGGTGACAGGCCGGCTCTGGAAAGCGATCGCAGGGGAATGGAAGCCTGCGAGGGTGGCCATTGTCTCAGCCGTCCGCCTTGCATGGGTGGAAGGCAGGCGGGCAAGTGCATGGAAGCGTTGTACAAACACAGCTGCAATTGTTTATGAACTAGAACCCAAATTTCCCTCCAAGTTACAGAAACTCTTAAGAAAACGCTTATAAACTGCAGGCGGCTGAATGTTGGAATCATTCCTGGCATTTGGCCAGTTGGAAATTTTCTTGCCACTAGGTATCTTTTGATAAAGAGGTTTCCTTTTCCTTCATGTCACCTTTCTTTCAACAGTCTTTCTTGCTAGGACGCCGTACTGCCACTTGGACACGCATGGTCTCGTTTGTTCTTGTTTTGTTTATGAAGTGACAACACAGACTGGAAGAATAGGAAGTCCAGGCTTTGGTCCAGGTCTCCAGGATACTTGGATCCTTTTCGGTATCCTTTGTATCCTCCTCTCTGCTCAGGTGGAGGAGACAATTCTTAGTCCACGGAAGACACAAGTATATAGAAGGTCTGTTTGGTAAACTTCATGGCATGAAAGGCTACTGAGTGACAGATATAAATGTGGCTATAAATAAAAGCTGTTTCTACATTTGCTTAATTAAAATCGTTATGGTGATGTGGCAGGACACAAAGCACAGAACAATTACGTGATTCCTCCCCCTCCCCCCCCATTATTTTTGACTTTGCTGCTGCAAAACACAGTGAAAGCACAAGCACAGTTAGTAAAAGTACCTAAAAGCAGATGTTTCGTTTCTTCTAGCAGTATCTGAGACATCCCTTTCAGCGTGTTTTTCTCCCTTCCCCTCCCCCCACCATTTTACTAGCGAACCCTATTCTTACTCATAGTGGCATAAAGACAAAATTCTCACTTTTTTTAATGGAAGGACACTTGGGCTGTATACCTTTATCTTATTCAATTAAATATTAACCCACCCCCTGCAAAATATGTTTTAAAACAACAGTAGAAACTGTAATGCCAAAACCTGATCCGCAATGCTGTTCAGTTAACACGAAATATATTGTGTTCAAGTCAAGACTTGAGAGTCTTGAAGAGTTGCATTGCACGGGGAGCAGGCAGGAAGGAGAGAGAAGATTGATTCACGTGGCACATCTGGGCCTTTTTTACAGTACTCCTCATGAAGGTCAGATGGTCAAAACTGTAGGGTACCACCCATTTTGTTTGTATTAAGATTGTGAGAACAGGCCAGATTGAAAAAGCATGCAATAGCTGATGCGAGGTGAAGTTACGTTTGCTGCTTCAGAACGCTGTGTTACTGCTTGTGGTTCAGACTTGAGATCAACAAAAAAGGATGGCAAGCCTATTTTTGTTGTACCTTGAAAAAATTCCACAACAGTCTAGGAATCCAGCTTTAAGCCCAAATCTGTTTTTATTCATACTGATCATATAAATTATAGATGTTACCAAACTATATACACAATTGCTCTTGTTGTTCTGGAAAATTATTTATACCTGATGCTTTCTGAGAGAAAATGACTTCCTATCTGCAGCTTGCTTTGAATCACTCGGGTTAATGAACAGAGACATGTTCATTTGTTTAAAATCTACTCCCATGTATCACAGAAGTATCTCATTACCCTCTTTCCGTTCACTTGCTTTCAACTAATATCAGTAGTATGGGTGAGAGTGAGTAAAAAAGGAGAAATGAAAGTAAGATCCATCCAGGTCTCACTGATTCAAGGAGGTTATGTTTTCATCCCAGATGTCTAATTTGTACCTACTCAAGAGGAGCATAAGGTGCAAATGTTCAAGTGTTCATATGTATTTTTAAGAACTTTGCATGCTTTAACCATATATTCTGCAGACAGGAATTAAATCTTGAATGAGCCAGCATACATGAAATGTAGTGGCCTTGGAATTGCCTGTTTGTTATGCTATTAACAGAGTTTTTAGGGATAATATTGGTGGGAAAAGAACCCCACACAACAGAACCAAACAACCCAAACCCAGCACTAAACAGTGTCTGAAGGAAAAAAAAGTATTTTAAAAAGGCAATTTACCACTTATATGAAAACTAGTTATTCTGCTTATTAAATGAGTCTCTGATAGGCGTGTAATACTCTGTCATGTAGCACAAGTTGTCCAGTGGTCAGCAAATGCTGCAGCTCTTCAGTAACTGTTTTTAAAAACTGTGCTTCCCAGTCCACGTTTACCAAATAGTATCAAAACTTTGTCAGATCAGGATTTTTTCTTTGTAGACTTGCTGTAGTACTACTTGCTGTAGTATTTGAGTGCTTCACGCACAAATAGATTTACTTCTGCAACTATTTGGTGAGAGGGGGAAGTTCTCCTAACCCTCTCTTCCAATGGCAAAATGGAGAGAGCCTTTTTGACACCACAGGCTTTGTGTCCATTTTCTTTCTGGACCTCCCTTCTCGTCCCAGCCTTGCCTTCTTTCCTCCCACAATTTCTGCTGTGGTAGCAGATAAAAATCTATGCTGAAGGTAGCTCATGTTCTGGAAAAAAGCAAACCCTGGACACATAGGGGACATTCAAAGTCAGGGGGATGAGAATCTTCGCTTTAAAATAGAAGCTGAACCAATGGTATACGAGAAGATGATTAAACACAAACTATTTAACATCATAAATCGTAATTTCCCCAAACACATTAATGTCCTTATATGCTGTTTTCAGAAGCAAAACATTTTGTTCTTATACCCTCATATTTACAGCAATTCTATGGATGTTAATTCTGCAAGTAAAATCAGACGACCTCCAAGCCAGAAAGGATTTGGCCTTTTATCAGCAAGGAAAGCAATTCTAACTTGCAGAAGGCTATTTGTAATCTCTAGGGAGAAGATTCCTGGTTTACGTGGTTTTGATGACAGAAAGAGGCCCAAGATTAACATCATAATGGTTTCCAGGAAATGCTGATTTACAAAGATGATGAGGAGAAAAAAACCAAACAAACAAACTGCATTTTTAACCCATCCAGTGTTCACACGATTACTAATTTTTCCAGTATGTCAACTTCAGTCAGTTGAGTAAGGAGAACTCAGCTAGAAGAAAAGAAGGAAAAGATTAGTCTCACGGCAGTTACTGCTGTGTTCATTCAAAAGTAACTGCAGATGAAACCTTCTCTGGCTCAAGGCAACTGCAGCGACATTTTGACAATCTAATGCAAACTGGTAAGGATCTGAGGATCCTGTTTCTAGTTCTTTACAAAATATAGGAATGCTCATTAGAAAACACTGTGGGAAACAGTTGCAATAAAAATTACACATTTTTATACAAATTCTTGTTGTTCTTGCAGCCTATGGATATGTATAGTGGGATTCTTACTGGAATCTTTGTTTTCCTGATGGGTAGGGGAGTCTGGAGAGGGGGCTAAATAGAAGGGAACTTAGCAAGACTGCAGAAAGTCTATCTTGCTAAGACTGAGTTACAGGATATTTTTTCCTGCTGCAGATTGCACTCCTGTTCTCTGCATCTCACACGGTGCTTTTTATTGACATCTCACGGAGGAAAAGTGTTGCTTATGTATGCAGATTGTCTGCTTACTGTACTTAGCCAGCTCTTCCCCAGGGCAGATTATGTTGTGTGAATTTGGGATGATAGAGAAAATACCACCGCATTTTCCTCATTCCCATTTAGTAAGGTAAATAGAGTGGAAAAAGGAAGGAAGGAATCCATTAAAAACCTTCCAAAACTATTTTCTCCCCTAATTTCTAGCAGAACTTGCAAACATTTGTAGCAAGAGTCTCTAGAAATCCACCTACCATCTAGCAGCACTGAACCACTTCTCTAGTACCCTTAAAAACTGCAGCATGATTGTATTTGACTCTCCCAGTTCATCACCGAACACATTCTTTTTGTGCAGTTACAACCCCAAAATATGGCAATGGCCACAGCTGGTTTGGAAGCTCTGGACAGAGCTGGTTTGAGAATTACTGTGCATGCTGAAAGTAACCAAAAACGTTTAGAGCCTAATGATAAACAAAAGTGAAGTCAACTATTCTTTTAACTGCCAAAACTTTGGGAAATGCATATGCATACGTAGTTCACAAATGCAGTTCAGAGAGTCAGAACAGTTTTCACATGTATAAATCAAACAACAAACAAGTGGGGACGTGTCTCAGATTGAGTGTCGTAGGTTTTAATGCACAATTTTCATTCAGGCTAGTATTTCAATTTTAGCTGAAGAACTAGTTTGTCATGAGCACTATCAGAGAAAAAGTTGAAGAAACAAACAAACAAAAATTTTGCTTTTGAACAGATCTTCAGCTTGCTGTATATTAAAGAACTCCTCTATTTGTATATAAAGTTTAACCGTGCTTCCAATCATTGACAGTCAGGAATCTGGCTTAGTTTTGTTCTGTTTGTGGGTGAGGAACAGTGTTTACAGAGAGGCATTTGAAGGGGAGTTGACAAGTCTTTAAATACATAACTGTTTTAAGATCATAAATCGTTGAACATACAGAAAACTCAGAGCTAGTATTAAAAATGGAGGTTTTCTTTTAAAGCTGTTAAAGCCAAACCACTGCTGTGTTTCCTGATAGAAGTCTGCTGGACAAATCCCTGGTGGGTAAAAGTTGGTGCTGTAAGTACTCTAAGCCACGATGATTCAGAACACAATTTCTAGTCAGTAAGGAAAAGAGGAAAATGTTTTCAATAGGATATGGGTACATTGTTTTAACAGTCTTTCTATATGCTTAGTGAATATTAGTTTTGTTTGCTAGAAGTGTTTTAGTTGACTTTTAATTTCTCACTTCGGTCCCCCATGTAGAAACTTGCAGCACTGAAAAGTTGTGCAAGTTTGCTGAATCAGAAATTTTTACGTTCCTTGTGCAGCTTTCCTGAGCAAGTCAAGCCCTTTGTGCTATCTACAGAATTATTGTCATGGTTATGTATTTGTCAGTGTAAAGGCTTCATTTTTGCAAGAACTCTGGGATCTTTCAATTATGATATTCATGGTTCACTGGCCAGCGTGTCAGACAATTTCATATAACACAGTGCTTCCAAGTGTGCTGTCCCATTTAGAATAGGAAATGTCCGCACCATCATTTCAGAATGTAATACAGCAAGTGATGAAGGAGCTCTAATTTTTTCATAAGTGTACAAGCAGCCTTTATATAACCAGCCTCTGTGTTGTACATGTCCTGTTTGCTTAGTATTAACTTATGAATGGAAAAGTTTACAACATACGGCAGTTTCGATCACTGTGGGACTCAGGTGTTCTCTCAGCACAGCATAAACACTTGGAGACATTGGAAGAAGATCTGATGGAGAATGTGGATCTGTAGAATCATTTAAGCTTAAAAAAACAAAAACAAAAACCACAAAAATAATCTTAAAAGCAACCTAAATCCCTCTAACTTGATGCATAGCAGTGGAGTATGGTGAATGCTTATTAAGTTAGTTAAGCCTGTATTTGGGCTTGCTGGTGCCCCTGTAAGCACATGCCAACAACCTGGTATGTGTTTAAAAATGTAGGAGATAGGACCAAAGGAAAAGAGTATAAACCTCACTCTGTAATATCAGCTGCTGGAGAGAAAAAGGAGACAGTGAAAGACGAGTAGATCAGAGTACCGTAAAGTCAGTGTTCAATTTTTACAAATGTTTTGCCACATGGGTGGGAAAAGCACTGCAGAAGTGAAGTTCTTTACTTCCCTTTCTTGTCTTTAGCAGTCCTTGGTCAAATAAAAACATGTGATGTGTTGCTATCTCAAATGATTTGAATGGGGAAAAGGAGGCAGGTAAAACTCTGAAACAGTATGTAATAAAAATAACATTTGAAGTGTAATGCATCTGTAAGGATACTTACATTTTGGAGACTGGGATAAATACAGAAGGAACATAACCTTTGCCTCCTCCATCTGAGGGCTTTGAGACTGAAAATCAATATTAGAGACATTAAGTATTACCTAGTAATTTTATTATTTATTTGAAATTGATTATCTGCTTTAAGTGCTACAGACCATACTATATTAAAAAAGAAATGTCCCTGTTTATGCTTAAAGAAGCAGCCTTAAAAATGAGGGGAATTCCTGACATTAGTCTTTGGGTTCAGGTCTTAGTCACGTAATTGACTGTGATCCCTTGATATGAATTGCCATCCCAGAATATAATACAGCAACTGATGAAAGAGATCTCGTTAGGGCTTCAAAAGCAAATATACTGTGACTCTACAAGCTTGGTGCTTCTGAGCCTCTAGATGTCAGTTCTGCAAATGCTTGCACGGAGCTCGCTCTCCTCACAATACAGCTGCAGCGATGTCTTTTTCATGAAAGTAAGCATATACATAATGTTTTAGAGGATTGGACCATTAGGGAAAGTCCACCCAATTAAAATGAAGAGGAAAAATATGTGTAGCCTCCAAATATTTTTGAGTAGTGTAGGAATTTGAATTCAAATGGAATTGTAACCTTTTATACTGAAAGTCCAGAAGAATGTGTATTATCTATTAAAAAAATCAAGGCTTTGAGGGCTTTTTTGAGAGCGAGTTTGATCTAAAAATGGCCTGACTTGTAACTTGGACAAGAAAGAGCATGGGCCTGAACATATCTGGAGCCATTCTCATCTAGCCTTTTTGTATTTTCCAGTGCATTTGCCAGGGGTTATACTGCTAGAATAAAGCAGGTCTTCTGAGCTGTTTGGAAAATACAGCATTCCTTGAAATTAAAGAGACAGCATGCTACAGTGTTACACAATTATGAAGCTGATAAGCAGGATGACTTTTCAATTTCGTCTCCTTTGAATGCCTGAGCACTGAATTTTGTAATGCATCGGTCATGAAAAAAATCCTATTTTTTGACTCTTGCTACCATAAGATCTATTTCTTAGCATCTTTTAAATATTGTTGTCATCGCCTCTAATGTGACCTCTAAGACCAGGGATATAATTGCAAAATGAAGCGGTCTAAATGATAGACACACAATTAAAACAGTTCTCTTAAAGATGTTGATTAAAGGAGGCATCTTAATCTGTTCCCTTCCTCCTCCCCCATTGCTCAAATTGCCTCTTGACTTTGCAGCTGTTTTGCAGAAAGGGTAAATACAGAAATGGAGCCCAACCTTCATTTGGCTGACAGCTGTAGTGTTTGCCAAAGGCCTTATCTTTGGGAATGTCTGGATACAGATACTTCAAAGGGTTTTCAGGAACATTGTCTGCCATAATAACTTTGTAATCGCGCAGTATGTCGGCAAAAGGCAGTGCGGATAAGCGACCTTTGTTATAGGGTTCCACCGAATGAAATGTTACGTCTCCTGTAAAAATACAAAGGCACCATAACCTGCTGATAAGTGTTTATCCTGGTTTTGGCTGGGATAGAGTTAATTTTCTTCCTAGTAGCTGAAATAGTGCTGTGTTTTGGATTTAGTATGAGAACAATGTTGATAACAGGCTGATGTTTTCGTTGTTGCTAAGTACTGCTGGCTGGGGCTAAACCACGACACTGGTACATCAGCATCTGCAGTTGAAACATATTTTTGCCTTTCTTTTGCAATTTACAGTGGTGTAGGCTTTACCTGTTCATACCAATGGTAGTTTCTTTCAAGTTATACTTTCTGCACACGTGGAAACAAATTTAAAGCCTGCAGAAAGCAGGTACACCTCCTAAAGAACTTATATAGTTAATATAAAGAACTGAGAGGTAGGCTTTCAGTGTTTTGGTTTGTGTTTTAGTAAACGTGATACTTATATCTTGCCCAAAACCATACTAAGACACGATACGCATGAATTTTACTTTCAAACCAAAGAAACCGTGGCTCCTGTATTACAGGTGTATTGCAGAGTTTGAGATTTATGTTATTTTTTTAAAAATTATACTTACCATTTTCTAACTGATCCACCCAAGTAAAGGTAATTCCACCCAGATTGCTTTCACTAAACCTTAATAAAAACGTTCCCGGTGTCTTGTCTTTGAGCAAAATTCGTTCCTTCTCCTTGCTTACAAATCCCATTACATACCTGAAATGTAACAGGAAATCATGGGTTTGCTTTTGGAAAAAAATACAGACTTCAATCTGTGCAATGCATCTGGCCAAACTTTATATAGGTGTTCAAAGCCTTGTTACAAAGCTTTATAGGGTCTTGAAACTATGAGAAAAGTTTCATGTGATTTACATGTGGAGTATGGCATTGAGCTCATAGTACTATGAAGCATGATGAAATTTATCATAGCACTTGATTGAACACTTGAACACTGACAGAACTGATAAACAGATCTAAACTTGCATTTTTAAGAGATTCAATGGTGTTCCCTTTTGGCAAAAATTTAAAAAAGTTATAAATGGGGAGACAGAAGTATTAAACTCTTTGCAAGTTCTCTTCTGCATAGCTAAAACTGAGATTAGTAAAGAAAAAAGACAAAGCAGAGAGAGAGAGAGATCAATATATAGCTGTACCCTTGTTGCTCACCCATCAATCCAAAGAGGAAGAATGTGTTTTTTAATTAAGTCCAGGATGGCTTCAAGCCAAACCCAAAAGGTAAAAGACTTCCCAGGCAAATGTTCCTAATGGTTAAAAAAAAAAAAGAACACAAAGCACAAACAAAACCAACACACACAAGAAGAGAATTGTGAGAGTGATGTTACCCAACATCCACATGACATGGCGATCTCAGTTTCTTGAGAATAATTTAGTTTGTTCAAGCGAGAATGACAAATTTGAACTGCTGTTTTGAATAACGTCTCTCTTTCAGCCTGACATAAAAACAATTGACTTTTAAGATAAGCATTGGGAGCCCCTCATTTTTCAAGGAAAAAAAAAAAATCACATTTTTTCTTCCTGTTATGAAATTACATTTTGAGAGAAATAATGATGAGAAAGTTCAGCTTCCTTCCAAGGTTCTATACTTGTTTATATAATGTAGTTAATATGAATAAAATGGGTTTACCCTTCTTTCTCAATAATTTTTCTGTTCCTTATCAAAGTTACTGAATATATCAACCGACTTGAAATAACTGAGGTCACAACTAAGCATATGAAAAAAAACTACTGTATGCTTTGATAGCACAATCTATTGATCATTTACAGAAATATATAAGGCAGACTATAATGACAGATTCTGATCTCTGTAGTAACATAACTAAGTAGATCTCTTGGCCCAAGTTTTAAACTTCTGGAAATATTCTTTTCCTAGTTAAATTTTTACAATGAACGTGATGGTGCTGGGCTACAAGTCCCACATATGGCAAGTGGGAATCTTATCAGTAGCATCAGAGAGACAGAGTTAGGCACACATGCAGGTGTTAAGAGAGATTCTAATTTTACTTTCAGAACTGTACCTTGCAGAACTTTGCCCAGGACAGTTGATAATCATTGTAACTGACTTGTTGCCCTGAGAGAAGAAAAAAAAAAAGGAAATGGTGAGTCTATTTTTCTGAAGTTTTGAAATAGATATAGCTTGATATCTGTATAGTTGCAGGGTGTGTTGGGGGAGAGAAGTACAGTACATCTGGACATGGAGAGGGATTGAGAGAGGCATGCTAAGGGACTGTAGATCAGGTTTTCTGTGTCCTTTTGAAGCAGCTGATAACGGTCATTTTGGGAAAATTTGCCTAAAGTAGTCTGGGACTTTGTCTCTGCAACACTAGGTGCTGAGTTTCAGTTTTTAGCCCAAGTGTTACTTCTCTTGGCCTTCACTCTATCTTGAGCTTCCATATTTTAAGACAATTTATTTTTTCTTTCTTATGATTCTTGCTGATTTACAGTGGCACCTCTCAACTTGACTACCTCCACTAAGCAAGAAATCTCCAAGAAACCATCAGAAAAAAATGACTTACCCAGTGAAACCAGTCTTCGTTTCCCAGTTTTGAAAGCAATAAAAGATTCCCCCCAGTCTTTGACAAATGCTCCTGTTCTTGCCTGACACTAGAGGTATCGTTACACCCTCAGCTTGGAGTTTCTTACATCTCACAATAGATTTTATAATTGTTTCTTCTCCAGAAACTGATAAAGCTTTTTTTCTTCTGCCAGCTTTACCTAAGGCCTCTCCCTTCTGGGGGACAGTCAGATCAAAGTGTTCAATAGTTCATCTCTCTGAAGTTACAGGGTCTCTTTGCTACGCTGTCATTAGTGAAGGATGGGTCCCAGAACTAAACAGACGTGCAAAGACGGGCACTTAAAATGAAACAAAACCCAAACCAAACCCCATAAGCAAGCAAAAAAACTTCCTTTTGATTTCAGATGCATGAGATAATTACTTGCTAAGGAAACAAAGTAACATCACAGTTCAGTGTGACTCTGATGCCCTCTTTCTTCAGTTTAGCAGCCTGGAAGTTCAGAAGTTGAATCACTTTGTGGTAAGAATAAGCTGACGCGTGCTTTTCTTTAAAGAAAAAAATGTCATCGTGGCATTTTTTAAGTCAGCTCTGGAAGTGGAGGTCATGCTTAAAGTCATTACATGTAATTAGCAAATATAAAAGCCCAGAAGCAAATAAAATCTGTATGTTTCTACAATCTTACCCATAAGTTTCTCTGCCAGCATGTTGAGCTGCTCAGAATTGAGTCCACGACCGACATATGATGAAAATTGCCAGCTCAGTACTTCTAAGAGCTGACTTAAAGTGGCAGCAGGGGGATTGTTGAAGAAAGACAAATTCTGCAACAGAATTAGTGCTTTGTTTAGACAGGTAGCAACCATGAAATACACTACAGGCTGTGAAAGAAGGCTGCAAGTACTTGAGCAGAATCCAGAAGCATTAAAAATGAGGTGTGCGGGGTGTAAGTAAGTGCTGGACCCCCCATCTGCAGCCACCCAGCAAGGTCCACTCGGGTGCCTGAGCAGAGTTATTGGGGGAGACTCCTAGAGAGAGTGAGAGTCCGTGTGTGCAGCTGTCCTGGTTTTGGCTGGGATAGAGTTAATTTTCTTCCTAGTAGCAGGCATAGTGCTGTGTTTTGGATTTAGGATGAGAAAAATGCTGATAACACACTGATGGTTTAGTTGTTGCTGAGTACTGCTTATGCTAGTCAAGGACTTTTCAGCTTCCCATGCTCTGCCAGGTGCACAAGAAACTGGGAGGGGGCACAGCCAGAAGAGTTGATCCAAACTGCCCCAAGGGCTATTCCATACCATATGACGTCATGCTCAGTATAGAAACTGGGGGAGTTAGCCGGGGAGTAGCGATTGCTGCTCGGGAACTGTCTGGGTATTTGTTGGTGGGTGGTGGGCAATTACATTGTGCATCATTTGCTTTGTATATTATTATTAT